AAGTATGTACCTAAGGAAAGAGTGAGTAGCAGGGTATGAAGGAAAAAGAAATCCCCATGGTTTCTCATTCTTTACTTGAGTAATTTTTCTTCTTCAACTGTATAATCAATAAAGAGATGTGTGCTTACTGATTAATAATTGATCATGGAATTATGGTAGTAAATCTTTAGAGTAAGATACTTCCTCAAATTTTATTTGAATAAAGGTAAGACTATATTAGTCACATTTTTTATCTACCAGAGAATTCATACATTGTAATCACTTAATTAAACAATTTCAGTAAAAAATAGAAACTTCTAATGGTATACAAATGGTATTGATATGGTTGGTTTGACAAATCAGAAGGAAGTTCCTAATACCATGACTGTTCTTTTTGCCCTTTTGAAATTCTGCTTCCCTTAAAACCTTAATCTAGTTTAACCAATGTTTTTCAAACAGGGTATGAAGACAAATATCTAAAATTTTGCCCAGTTTTGAGATTAAGAAATTAAGTTTCAGGGCTTCCCTGGTGGTGCAGTGGTTGAGAGTCTGCCTGCCGATGGAGGGGACGCGGGTTCGTGCCCCTGTCCGGGAAGATCCCACATGCCGCGGAGTGGCTGGGCCCGTGAGCCATGGCCGCTGAGCCTGCGCGTCCGGAGCCTGTGCTCCGCAATGGGACAGGCCACAACAGTGAGAAGCCCGCGTACCGCAAAAAAAAGAAATTAAGTTTCAGACACAGTCTTAAGCTTGTCTTTTAATATCTAACAGGTACAGAGGCAGAATTTATTTTTTCTAGTGTATAATTCTTTTTTATTCAACAATTTTTTTTATATCTTAATTTCAGCTAAATTACTATTAAGTTATTATAGTCATGATTTTTATATAGTTTTAATTCTAATGGCAATGCAGATGTAAAGGATAAAAAACAAAATGCAATCACCTTCACCTGTACTAAATTTGTATATAATTTTATAAAAGTCTTGAAATGCAAAGTATTAAAAGTTAGAATAATATTTTTTTTTTATTTTTTTCTTCAGTGAACTGTGAACAGTTTCTGTTGAGCTGTAAAGACAAAATGAAATTTCAGCAGAATTTTGAAAGTATAGACATATATAAAATAATAACAGAATCCCAACTTAAGGAGATTGTTTAGCCAGAGTTTTTGTTGGTTTTATTAGTATTTTCAAATTGTTTAAGGTTAATCAGAACTTCAATTAGATAATGCATCACATACCTATCCTAGCAAATAAAGAACGTGAAGAAAACCCCTGCTGTTTCCCTTTCCATGGGTGTAGTTTGAGATACAGGAAAGTTTGTCGACTTATATTTTTTCTTTGGGGTAATAAATGGGTTCATACTGTGAAAACTACGGTGACTTCTAACACTGTAAGCTCCTTTCTTATTTTGATTATACTTGGGAATAAACTTCGGATGGGAACGAATTGTACACAGGTTTGGTTTTCCTTGATAAGATGCTCCACCAGTCCTAATGTTTTTTGTTTTTGTTTTTGTTTCGTAACAGTGAAGAAGAAATATAATTAAAGATGCTTTTCTTATTTCATCCAACATAGTCTTCAGACATAGAAAAATTCCTTGGCAAAAAACAGAACCAAAAAAATCTCGCAAGGTTTATTTTCCTTTTAAAAAAAGAAAGTTTAAACAAGTCCTTCATTTTCTATGCCGTGTCTACTTCCTGCCTTTCTCTTTTGTACTTGAGTTGAAGGCAGATGTTCCATGAAGAAAATGAGAAGAGAAGCCTGTGATTTCTCACAATGCTTGGGCTACTTTAACACTGTTCAACTCTACTGTGTCAGGAAGGGAAAAAGAGAATTTTGGGAAGTGAGAGTTTATCAATGGTGCATAAATTCAGGATAGAATAAAGCATATCTTTAGACACTACGTAAAAAAGAAAAAAACAACAACAGAAAAACAGACTGTGTAACACAGGAGGAAACACCTGGAAGCTAGAATTAAGGAAGACCTAAGTTCTGATGCTGCTGCTTCTGCTTGTTAGCTGTTTGGCCTTTGATTGGTTTGCTTAGCTTCTTTGAAGTTCTACAAATACACAGTGGGAGTACTAATACTTGCCTTATAGGTCGGTTGTGTGGATTAACTGAGGTCATGTATGGAAAATAACTGGTTCTTAGTGGTATTAAAATGACAGCTACTATTATTACAACTTCTTAAAAGAGATTATTCTATCCAGAAATGACTTAGATTGAGAGAGCAGATGTTTCTTAAATCTTTGCATTTGGTACCCACTCTACACGAACTGGGGACAGCATACAACTGTCATCTCAATAAAGTAGTATATCTCTTAGGGTGATTCTTTTAATCAAACTAGTTTAGTAAAACTGCTAAAGTAAACGATCGAACAACCAAGTGAGTGATCTAGGAGACCCCAACAAAGTTCTCTTAGTAATCTCTATATCTCATATAGTTCATTTTCCCTGGAAAGTTGCTGTTTAAATAACACTGTGGATTGATTACTTTATCTTTATGGCACTGGAAATTGTGAAATTTCTTGGTAATAAAGTATATTCTATAGCTGTGATTTGGTGACTCACTGAACATTTGATGAGGAAGGAAATTTAGATAGTCTGTAGCTCAACCTGAGTTTAGTAAACTGTGTCATTGAGACATAGTGAAGCACAGAAAGCTGAAATGACTTTCCCAAGGTTCTATAACTAGTTAATGGTAGAGCCAGGGCTAAGCTCAGTTTCCTAATTCCTAATCTGTTTTTTCCACCACTCCTCTCAAGATGATAGGGCATTAGTTTGTACCTTGCCATGGAAATTGGGGTTAAAAGTTTATTTGAAAAAATGTGTACAGTATATACATACCTGATAGGCTTCTACAACCAGATTATTGAGGTTTGCAGCCTTTGATTCTATTTCACCAGCAATGGTGCCAGGCAAGAGGGGTAGAAGATCCTAGAAAACATACCAATAACCTGCACTTAATGACAATAGTATACAATGGTTTAGCAATCAACAAATATTAAAAAATCTTTAGTTATCAGTGGAAGGTGAGTCATTACATGAATCAAAAAATATGAGACACAAGAAAAATATAAGCAACTAAGCAGAGCAGCCAAAACATTTGTTCCTGAAATAGTGTGTATTTGTATGTACATGAGTGTGTGTGTTACATGCTGACGTAAAACTCAAAGCACAGACCGGCATTTCCCAAACTATCTCCCATAGAACATGGTCCCAAGAGATTTTAAAATGAAAAGTGTTCTGAGGGCAAATAAGTTTGCTAAGTTCTGCATATGGTTTATTCCACATAGAGACTCAAAATGTACACCACTGCAATTCAGAAATAATTTAGCATTATTAAATGCAGCATTCCCTAACATTTACTTAATTACAAACCTCTTTTCTCATGTAACATATACAACTATTTTGCAGAACTACTTTTCCATGGAATGGTCTTTAGGACATATTTTCCCAGACAGGAGAAAAAAATCAAAGTCACAAATGGAAGCTTCATGGAGCAGGTGTTCTTGATGGATGGTACATAATAATTATGGAATCAACTCTAGGTATTCCTAGTGAGAAATGAGAATTAGCAAAGGCTTAAAGGTTTACCCAAGTTGTAGATGAAGTAAGAATAGAGAAGAAACTAGTCTGACTAGAGTGAATGGTGCATATTTATATGGAATCAGATTATGAAAAGTCTTGAAATACATTTATATACTCATTTTACCATTCACAAGTATCATTAAGTTCCTGCTGTATGCCAGCTACTACTTGGTTACTGACAATTTGGTATCTCAGGTAATGGGGAAAATGTATCAGTTAAATATTTTAAAAATTCATTTATACAACCTTGATTAGCTAAGCACCGTATACCGCTTTGGAAATGCTAAATTGCTACGCCACATAGTTTCCATCCTTAAGGATCTCACAGGAATATAAATGACAGTTTCAAAAAACAACGTACACCTGAAGCAACAGACATATGTACAGACCCTAATGAGAGGGATACTGAGCAAGCATTTGAGAGCTGGGGAAAGTTATCAGGGACTGTTTCCTGGAGAAGGTGATTCATGAGCTGTGTCTTAAAGGATGAGTAAGAGTCAAGTAATGATGGAGAAGGGCTTCCAGGCATGGGAGATAGGTAGCAAGAACAAAGTCACACAGGAAAGAAAGAGCCTGGTGAGTGTGTGTACACAGGAGGATTAGAAGCACGACTGGAGGGACAAGTTTAACGCAGATAATGTTAAAGACTTGATCCTCTAGATCAGAGGGAACCACTGGAACATTTTACTCTCGGGAGTACTGTGGTCACACCTGTGATTCAAATAGCTCATCCTGCAGCTGAGTGGAAGATAGATTTGGGAGATGGGTTAGGAGGCTGTTACAATCCAAACAAAGAAGTAATAAAAATATCTCTGAGCAGCCAAATTAGGTGACTGAAACGGCATGCACAGGACTCTTAGGAGAGCCTGTCAGGCTTTTAGAACCTGCTGACTCTTACTTTGCACACAATTCAGTTAATAATAAACCTGGTTTTATGGTTTAACAGTCAGTGGAAATTTTCTTAAAGGAGTAGGGAGAAACTGCTAGAGCTAATATCACCATCAAGAAGTAATAAATAGCAGAGAAAAAGGAGGTGAAAGCAATAAAGAGCTGCACAGTAAGTTGAAATTCAATTTGAAATTTAAGCTTAGGGGTTAAGAACACAGGATTTAGGCTGTTAGGAAAGTTTGGGGAAGTATATAACCTCCCTAACTGCATTTCCTTCATCTTTAAAATGGGCATACTAGTAATATTGCCCTCATTGTTACGAGTTTTAAGAGTATTAAATGAGTTAATGTTAATAAACTCAGTGCCTGACAATAGTAAGTGCTCAATAAGTGGAAGCAGTTACTATTGTTAATAAAGTGATTCGGGCATTTAGTTTGGGTCAGAGCCCTACTTCTGTGGATATTAATGGTTGTTTGCTTAAAAAGGGGGTTCCATGGTATATAAGTTTGGGAAGACAGGGATTTATATTTTCACTATAGATTTCTAAGAGAAGAAATGGTATAATTTAAGTAGCACTTTCAGATGATAAACGTGGTAGTCAGGTATTAGGGAAATTGTTGAAGGGAACAGCAGCTTTGTGGCAAATTAAAATGGGTTCAAGTATTTGTTGAAGCCAAAAGAAAATGTAGTTTCTCTGAAGTATTAAAAAATAAGTAAAGGACATTAGGAGTAGAAGGAAGAAGCAAAGACAACAAAGGAGATGAAGAAGACCCAGTGAACAGATATGTGTGATGAAAATTAGGGTATCACAATATTGTAGAAATGAAAAAAAGAGAGTTTTCTGGAAAGAAGAACCTTAAAGACTGTGAAAAGAAAGCTATAGCAGGATCACAGAACTTACAGGTTTGGGGGTGACAGGGGGAATCCCATTGGGTGCTGCCAGAGTGACATAGGTGCCAAACGTCTTTTGGGCTTGTAGGACTCACCTGGCCCAAAAGATACTGGACAAAATCAACATTATTCTTATGTAGGAAGGCTTTGACTGGGTTAGCCACTTCCATGGCTCCTCTTGTTCCTTTACTAGATGACCTAGACCAAACCTAGGTACATTGGTGCTATTGTAAAATATGCTGATATTCTCCAACCTAATCTATTATAAAGGTATGCCCATGGGCTAGAAAAAGCAGAACTCTGGACATGAGTGGTATAGTTGGAGTGTGAACTACTTTTCACCTGATAAAAGTCTCCTCCATTATTGTCACAATCAGTACAACACCAAGTATCAGTGCCCACACTTGGTTCTAGGTGTTACAAACATAGAATTTATACTTATTTATACTTAACTGCTAACTTAAGACCCTGTGTAGTATACATTACTTTTTTAAAAATTTCAACATCTTTATTGGAGTATAATTGCTCTACAATGGCGTGTTACCTTCTGCTATATAACAAAGTGAACCAGCCATATGTATACATATATCCCCATATCCTCTCCCTCTTGCATCTCCCTCCCAGCCTCCCTGTCCCACCCCTCTAGGTGGTCACAAAGCACAGAGCTGATCTCCCTGTGCTATGCAGCTGCTTCCCACCAGCCATCCATTCAACATTTGGTAGTCTATAAACGTCCATGCCACTTTCTCATCTCATCCCAGCCCACCACTCCCTCTCCCTGTGTCCTCAAGTCCACTTTCCACATCTGTGTCTTTATTCCTGTCCTGCTCCTAGGTTCTTCAGAACCATTTTTTTAAATTAGATTCCATACATATGTGTTAGCATACAGTATTTGTTTTTCTCTTTCTGACTTACTTCACTCTGTATGACAGACTCTAGGTCCATCCACCTCACTACAAGTAACAAAATTTCATTTCTTTTTATGGCAGAGTAATATTCCATTGTATATATGTGCCACATCTTCTTTATCCATTCATCCGTTGATGGAAACTTAGGTTGCTTCCATGTCCTGGCTATTGTAAATAGAGCTGCAATGAACATTGTGGTACATGACTCTTTTTGAATTATGGTTTTCTCAGGGTATATGCACAGTAGTGGGATTGCTGGGTTGTATGGTAGTTCTATTTTTAGTTTTTTAAGGAACCTCCATACTGTTCTTCATAGTGACTGTATCAATTTACATTCCCACCAACAGTGCAAGAGGGTTCCATTTTCTCCACACCCTTTCCAGCATTTATTGTTTGTAGATTTTTTGATAATGGCCATTCTGACCGGTGTGAGGTGATACCTCATTGTAGTTTTGACTTGCATTCCTCTAATGATTAGTAATGTTGAGCATCCTTTCATGTGTTTGTTGTCAATCTGTATATCTTCTTTGGAGAAGTGTCTATTTAGGCTTTCGGCCCATTTTTGGATTGGCTTGTTTTGTTCTTTTGATATTGAGCTGCATGAGCTGCTTGTATATTTTGGAGATTAATCCTTTGTCAGTTTCTTCGTTTGCAAATATTTTTTCACATTCTGAGGGTTGTCTTTTCGTCTTCTTTCTGGTTTCCTTTGCTGTGCAAAGGCTTTTAATTTTCATTAGGTCCCATTTGTTTATTTTTGTTTTTATTTCCTTTTCTCTAGGAGGTGGGTCAAAAAGGATCTTACTGTGATTTATGTCATAGAGTGTTCTGCCTATGTTTTCCTCTAAGAATTTTACAGTGTCTGGCCTTACATTTAGGTCTTTAATCCACTTAGAGTTTATTATTGTGTATGGTGTTAGGCAGTGTTCTAATTTCATTCTTTTACATGTAGCTGTCCAGTTTTTCCAGCACCACTTATTGAAGAGGCTGTCTTTTCTGCACTGTATATTCTTGCCTCCTTTATCAAAAATAAGGTGACCATATGTGTGTGGGTTTATTTCTGGGCTTTCTGTCCTGTTCCATTGATCTATATTTCTGTTTTTGTGGCAGTACCACACTGTCTTGATTACTGTAGCTTTGTAGGATAGTCTGAAGTTAGGGAGCCTGATTCCTCAAGCTCCGTTTTTCTTTCTCAAGATTGCTTTGGCTATTCAGCTATTCAGGGTCTTTTGTGTTTCCATACAAATTGTGAAATTTTTGTTCTAGTTCTGTGAAAAATGCCATTGGTAGTTTGATAGGGATTGCATTGAATCTGTAGATTGCTTTGGGTAGTATAGTCATTTTCACAATGTTGATTCTTTGAATCCAAGAACATGGTATATCTCTCCATCTGTTTATATCATCTTTAATTTCTTTCATCAGTGTTTTATAGTTTTCTGCATACAGGTCTTTTGTCTCCTTAGGTAGGTTTAACCGTAAGTATTTCATCTTTTTGTTGCAACGGTAAATGGGAGTATTTCCTTAAATTGTCTTTCACATATTCCATCATTAGTGGATAAGAATGCAAGAGATTTCTGTGCATTAATTTTGTATCCTGCTACTTTACCAAATTCATTGTTTAGCTCTAGTGGTTTTCTGGTAGCATCTTTAGGAGTCTCTAAAACAGTGAGTTTTACTTCTTCTTTTCCAATTTGGATTCCTTTTATTTCTTTTTCTTCTCTGCTTGCTGTGGCTAAAGCTTCCAAAACTATGTTGAATAATAGTGGTGATTGTGGACAACCTTGTCTTGTTCCTGATCTTAGACAAAATGGTTTCAGTTTTTCACCATTGAGAACGATGTTGGCTGCAGGTTTGTCATATATGGCCTTTATTATGTTGAGGTAAGTTCCCTCTATGCCTACTATCTGGAGGGTTTTTATCATAAATTGCTGTTGAATTTTGTTGAAAGATTTTTCTGCATCTATTGAGATGATCATATGGTTTTTCTCCTTCAATTTCTTAATATGGTTTATCACAGTGATTGATTTGCATATTGAAGAATCCTTGCATTCCTGGGAAACCCCTACTTGATCAGGGTGTATGATCCTTTTAAAGTGCTGTTGGATTCTCTCTGCTAGTATTTTGTTGAGGATTTTTGCATCTGTGTTCATCAGTGATATTCGCCTATACTTTTCTTTTTTTGTGACATCTTTGTCTTGTTTTGGTATCAGGGTGATGGTGATCTTGTAGAATGAGTTTGGGAGTGTTCCTCCCTCTGCTATATTTTGGAAGAGTTTGAGAAGGATAGATGTTAGCTCTTCTCTAAATGTTTGATACAATTCACCTGTGAAGCCATCTGGTCCTGGGCTTTTGTTTGTGGAAGATTTTTAATCACAGTCTCAATTTCAGTGCTTGTGATTGGTCTGTTTATATTTTCTATTTCTTCCTGGTTCAGTCTAAGAAGGTTGTGCTTTTCTAAGAATTTGTCCATTTCTTCCAGGTTGTCCATTTTATTGGCATAGAGTTGCTTGTAGTAATCTCTCATGATCCTTTGCATTTCTGCAGTGCCAGTTGTTACCTCTCCTTTTTCATTTCTAATTCTATTGATTTGAGTCTTCTCCCTTTTTTTCTTGATGAGTCTGGCTAATGGTTTATCAATTTTGTTTATCTTCTCAAAGAACCAGCTTTTATTTCTATTGATCTTTGCTATCATTTCCTTCATATCTTTTTCATTTATTTCTGATCTGATCTTTATGATTTCTTTCCTTCTGCTTACGTTGGGTTTTTTTTTGTTGTTCTTCTTCTTTCTCTAATTGCTTTAGGTGTAAGGTTAGTTGTGTATTTGAAATGTTTCTTGTTTCTTGAGGTAGGATTGTATTGCTATAAACTTCCATCTTAGAACAGCTTTTGCTGCATCCCAAAGGTTTTGGGTCATCGTGTTTTCATTGTCCTTTGTTTCTAGGTATTTTTTTATTTCCTCTTTGATTTCTTCAGTGATCTCTTGGTTATTTAGTAGTGTATTGTTTAGCCTCCATGTGTTTGTATTTTTTACAGATTTTTTCCTTTAATTTGTATCTAGTCTCATAGCATTGTGGTTTCAAAAGATACTTGATAGAATTTCAAATTTCTTAAATTTGCCAAGGCTTGATTTGTGATCCAAGATATGATATATCCTGGAGAGTGTTCCATGAGCACTTGAGAAGAACGTGCATCCTGTTGTTTTTGGATGGAGTGTCCTATAAATATCAATTAAGTCCATCTTGTTTAATGTATCATTTAAAGCTTGTGTTTCCTTATTTATTTTCATTTTGGATGATCTGTCCATTGGTGAAAGTGGGGTGTTAAAGTCCTCTACTATGATTGTGTTACTGTCGATTTCCCCTTTCATGGCTGTTAGCATTTGCCTTATGTTTTGAGGTGCTCCTATGTTGGGTGCATAAATATTTACAATTGTTATATCTTCTTCTGGATTGATCTCTTGGTCATTATGTACTGTCCTTCTTTGTCTCTTGTAGTAGTCTTTATTTTAAAGTCTATTTTGTCTGATATGAGAATTGCTACTCCATCTTTCTTTTGATTTCAATTTGCATGGAATATCTTTTTCCATCCCCTCACTTTCAGTCTGTATGTGTCCCTAGGTCTGAAGTAGGTCTCTTGTAGACAGCATATATATGGGTCTTGTTTTTGTATCCATTGAACCAGTCTGTGTCTTTTGGTTGGAGCACCTAACCCATTTATGTTTAAGGTAATTATCGATATGTATGTTTCTATTACCATTTTTTAAATTGTTTTGGGTTTGTTATTGTAGATCTTTTCCTTCTCTTGTGTTTCTTGCCTAGAGAAGTTCCTTTAGCATTTGTTGTAAAGCTGGTTTGGTGGTTTCTCTTAGCTTTTGCTTGTCTGTAGTTTTTAATTTCTCTGTTGAATCTGAATGCGAGCCTTGCTGGTTAAATTAATCTTGGTTGTAGTTTTTTCTCTTTCATCACTTTAAATATGTCCTGCCAGTCCCTTTCGGCTTGCAGAGTTTCTGCTGAAAGATCAGCTGTTAACCTTACCGGGATTCCCTTGTACGTTATTTGTTGGTTTTCCCTTGATGCTTTTAATATTTTTTCCTTGTATTTAGTTTTTGATAGTTTGATTAATATGTGTCTTGGCGTGTTTTTCCTTGGATTTATCCTGTATGGGACTCTCTGTGCTTCCTGGGCTTGACTGACTATTCTCTTTCCCATATTAGGGAAGTTTTCAACTATAATTTCTTCAGGTATTTTCTCCTTCCCTTTCTTTTTCTCTTCTTCTTCTGGGGCCCCTATAATTTGAATGTTGGTGCATTTAATCTTGTCCCAGAGGTCTCTGAGTCTGTCCTGAATTCTTTATATTCTTTTTTCTTTATTCTGCTCTGTGGTCGTTACTTCCACTATTTTATCTTCCAGGTCACTTATCTGTTCTGCTGCCTCAGTTTTTCTGCTATTGATTCCTTCTAGAGAATTTTAAATTTCATTTATTGTGTTGTTCATCCTTGTTTGTTTGCTCTTTAGTTCTTCTAGGTCCTTGTTAAGCATGTCTTGTTTTTTCTTCATTGTATTTCCAAGATCTTGGATCATCTTTACTGTCATTACTCTGAATTCTTTTTCAGATAGACTGCCTATTTCCTCTTCATTTGTTTGGTCTGGTGGGTTTTTACATTGGTCCTTCATATGCTGTGTATTTCTCTGTCTTATTTTGCTTAACTTACTGTGTTTTCGGTCTCCTTTTCGCAGGCTGCAGGTTCGTAGTTCCTGTTGTTTTTGGTGTCTGCCTCCAGTGGCTGAGTTTGGTTCAGTGGGTTGTGTAGGCTTCCTGGTGGAGGGGACTAGCTCCTGTGTTCTGGTGGATGAGGGTGGATCTTGTCTTTCTGGCAGGACCGCGTCCAATTGTGTGTTTTGGGGTGTGTGTGAACTTGTTATGATTTTAGGCAGCCTCTCTGTTGATGGGTAGGTTTGTGTTCCTGCCTTGCTAGTTGTTTGGCATGGGGTGTCCAGCATTGGACCTTGCTTGTCGTTGAGTGGAGCTGGGTTTTAGCTTTGAGATGGGGATCCCTGGGAGAGCTCTTGCCGATTGATATTTCGTGGGGCTGGGTGGTCTCTGGTAGACCAATGTCCTGAATTCAGCTCTCCCATCTCAGAGGCTCAGGCCTTACAGCCGGGTGGAGCCCCAAGACCCTGGCAGCCACATGGCTGGAGAAGATGGGCTATGAGTTGGGTGTCAGCCACTGCCCTGTTGTAGCTTTGTCTCAGCTGTCTCCAAAGGTCACCCAGATACATTGGGTTATTCCACCATTCCTCAGAACTTGCACATGCCAGTCTGGGATTTATAGATGTCCTCCTGATACTCTTAACTGAAATACCTTGCATTCATGGTGGTGAGAGATATGCTGATAGTGTTGGTTCTCTTCAGTTCAGAGTCTGGAACAGTCTGAGCCTTCATGTGACCAAGTCAGGAGCAGCTGGCCAATGGTCCCAGAGTGATAACATGTCAGATTCCAAGAAGGCTTTCTGCAGCACCTGAGCAGTAGTCCCAAGCAGCCGTTCTGCTCAGCTGCAGTACTTTGACCGTGGAACTCAGTGGGACCCTCACACGAGGATTTCTGCTGGCCCTGGAGCCTGAATTGCCCACCCAGGCAAGGAGTTGAGGAGAGCATCTCCTGTCCCATCTCACCAGAGGAACGGACACCTGGGCTATGTTAGTGTAACAGTATTAAATTTAGATTGTACAAAGTATAATAACTCCAGAATCCTTACCTGGGGTTCTAAGAAGTATTCTAATTTTAACTATAGATGCAAACATTTTAATTTTTATATTTTGGGAGTTAACATACCTTATACCAGTGAAACTGTTTTCCTTGAACTGCAAATATGACATTAATGTTGTTGTCTATTAACTTTTCTGAAAGTTGGCCTAGTGAGGGATGTTCCTGTAACAGAAAATGAAATAAAGAAGGGAGTGAAATTTAGTAGTTCAATTCCACACACTTCCAAACATCTGTTATGAGGAAAACTGTATGATTAACATAAAAATGTATTGTGTTGGGAAGGATTATCATTTTACTAGAGGTATTTAAATTCTTTTAAAAAATAAGGTCAGGGCTTCCCTGGTGGCGCAGTGGTTGAGAGTCCGCCTGCCGATGCAGGGGACACGGGTTCATGCCCCAGTCCGGAAAGATCCCACATGCTACGGAGCGGCTGGGCCTGTGAGCCATGGCCATTGAGCCTGTGCGTCCAGAGCCTGTGCTCCGCAACAGGAGAGGCCACAACGATGAGAGGCCCACATGCCGCAAAAAAAAAAAAATAATAATAAGGTCAACGTCAACATTATTAAGGATATTTTAAAGACAAAGTCTCCATAAAAACTTTAGAAATTCAGAAAAATGAAGAGGGTTGCATTCAACATCGTACAAAGAGTGTTTAGCACTTCTTTAGGTTAACATTGGACTCCAAGTGATATAATTGACAGATTATTTAATATTCAGAAACAGAGACATATTAGTTACAATCACATTCTGAGGTGAAATTCAGTAACAAGTTTTAAAATGCAAATATATGCATGTATATATATACATATTTACATACATATAAAAATTTGATATATAACATGGTGTAGAACAAAGTTTGTTTAAAAGAAGAAAACCCTGTATTCAAATCTCGGATTGTCAGTTTATGATAAAAATTGTATTTCAGGTCTATCCTCTATAACACGTGAATGGTATCTGCCTTCCATGATTGCTGGCAAAAGTAGAAAGATAACAATAGTATGTGAATTATTTAGAGCAGTTTCTTGCATATACTCAAAGCTAATAGCAGTTATTATAATTTTTATTTCCAAGAGCTTATACAAGGTGTAGGTTACAGATATTTCAACTTATTATCATTATACTTTTTTGTCATTTATGTATACATATATTTATATTACAAATCTGTCTTACATTGATATATAAAACTTATGTAGCTCTAACTGTGACACTCTTTGTGGTAGTGGGAAAGAAAGCAGGGGATGAGTAGAAAGGGAATAAAACTTAGTAAATATGAGAAATCTGACAACTATGGAATTTGCTATATAAAGTTATGTAGTAAGACATAGTACTTGATATTTTTCTTTCTATAAATGCTCTTTTAGGTATTAAAGCAATCTCAACAACTCTAGATACCTTTAGAGAAATGATGTCAAACTTCACCTGCAGTTAGGCCCACCTGTTTTTGGTGCCTAGTAGTGTAAGCCAAGGATCATGTGACTGAGCCTAATTAGTATCATCTGATTCAAGCTCAAATTACTCTGTAGTTTTTGTTTCCCCTTTCACCCTCCAATGCTAACTGTGCTTTTGTTAAGGGAAAATTTTCTTTAAACCATCTTGGTTAATATTTCTGGATTTTGGCAACTATATGAACTTAGAAAGCTAATTTTACTAGTTTCACTTATAGCCTAAGTTCTTTGACCCACTTATTAAACTTATATATATAAGTTTAATAAGATATAAGACACAGCCTTGTGCTTAAAACTACCATCACTAACATGAGTAACTGGTGTGATTTGACTATCTATGTCCTGCTTTCCAGATTCATACATTGAAATCCTAACCTCCAAGGTGATGTAATATTAGGAGGTGGGCCTTTGGGCTGTGATTAGGTCTTGAAGATAGAGCCCTCTTGAATGGGATTAGTGCCCTTATAAAAGAGAGCCAGTGGAGAAAGTTCCCTTGCACCTTCTGCCATATGAGGTTATAACTAGGAGGTGTTATCTTTGAACCAAAAAGTAGGCTCTCACCAGACCCCGAATCCTCTAGTGCCTTGATCTTGGACTTACCAACCTCAAAAACTGTGAGGAATAAATTTCTGTTGTTTATAAGCCACCTAATTTATGATGTTTTGGTATAGGAGCCCGAATGGACTAAGATAATAATCATAACAAATATCCTTTATTTCTATATAATCTATAATTGCTTTGTAGAAACAAATAAAATTTTCTTGAACCACAATTAAATATGATATGACTCCAATTTACAAAGGGGTATAAAAAGTATTACCACATGGATTTGCATAAGAAAAATTCTACCCACAGCAATTCTTAAGAATATAATTTTAAAGTAATAGAAGAACAATCCCCAAAATGTAAGTTCTATCAGATAAATTTTTATTCCTTTTTCCTAATAATATGCATACTCTTAAAATAGACTTATAACAGTTTGCATAATGCTAGTAAATTAAAGAGAACAACAACAAAAAAGAGAACAAGTAAAAGAAGGTAAGTCTAGCTATATTGGGAATATTTTTTTAAGGGCAACAACTACTTTTCGAATATTTTTGCTTTGACAAAAAATAATCACAGTTTGCCCAGCATTCCCCCTTCTTAATTTTTAAAACCATTCATATTTTCAGGAAAATTTAATCCATATGTTTTTAACCAGCTTATACTTAACTCACATAAAATCAATATTAAAGAACAGTCCAAAATATAAGCAGCTTTTGGAGGCTTCTTAATCTCTTTCCCCTTTTCAAAAACAGGAAGTTACATTGACCAAAAGTACACAAAATTTAAATCTAGCAAGTTCTCGTTTGCTCCAAAGATCATTAAGAAGGTCAGTTGGATTTTTAAGCTTAAAAGAACACATTTTTTAACCCTAGAAAGAAATGTTTTAAAAGAAAATTCCAAGTACCTCGAGGCAGATTGTTAAAACTACAAATGTTTAATAGATGTTTAAACAAACCATTGTTGATGGGAGAATTTTGGATTAATGGCCATTGTTGAAGCCCCTTCCCCTTTCCTCCATGAAGCATAGTATCTTTTAAGTATTTTATCTTTTATGTCTTGTATTTCACTAGCAGGAACACTCCCTCTCGGCCAGCTGTCCTGTGCTGGTGACGTCACTGCTCCTCAGCTTTAACTCCCCCTCTGTCTAACCCATTACATATTGTTTCTCTGAACTCTGAAAATAATGGAGATAACAAGCATTTCTGGGGCAGAAGGGAGAAGGGAAAGCAATGTGCCAAGGCAGCTGCTAAGTAATTAAGGGCAAAAGGATTCCATTCACATTTTTCTTCTTCACCAACACCTTCAGTGTGATTTGTGGGAAATAACTTATAAATGTCAGAAGGGAAGATGAGGTAAGAAAGATTCAATGGAGACAGTTTCGGTTAAAGAGATAACTATGTAGAGATGTATGAATTTTAATAATGTGCCTGTGTAGTGACAAGAAAACAAGTGTTTAAGATTCTCCATAAAAGTGAGTTTCATTATAAAAAGTTCTTATAATATAGAATTTGAAACATTGAATATCATAATAAGATACAAAACAAAAAACCAATGTCTTGGTTAAATAAAAGTATTCAGTTATCTGGATTACTTTTTATAGTTCACTTTTTAGAGGACAGAGACAGCATGAAAACAGTGTGATAGCACAGATTTATTTAGAGATGAAGATTTTATGTGTTGTCAGTCCCCATCTCTCCCAATGGCCTATTTTTCTATCTATATGGCTGCATAGTCATAATCGCATAGACCCATGTTTCCCATCAGTGGCACTATGGACAGTTTGTGTTGTGGGTGTGAGGCTGTCCTGTGCATTGTAGGGTACTTGGCTACATCCCTGGCCTCTACCTATTAGAGGCCAGTATCTCCCTCCTCCCTGAGTTGTAACAACCAAAATGTCTCTGGACACTGAAATGTTTTCTGGAGGGCAAAATCGTTCTGGTTGAGAGCCATACCAAGAGCAGGGGCTTGGAAGCAGACCACCTGGGGCTTCAACTCTTGTCTCTGCAATTACTAGCCATGTAACACTGGGCATCTGTCTTAACCTTCTGTGATACAGTTTCTATATATGTAAAACATATAAATACTAGTATCTACCTCTCAGGGTTATGGGGGGAATTAAATGCGTTAACATGTGTAAAGACTTTCATTTACCATTTTTTAATTATTAATCCCATACTAATGGTAAGGAGAAGCTCATGTCCTGATGTCACACTGCTTGTCATTTACCTAGGCACTACTATGCAGGGCTGTGTGACCACAGACAAGTTCCTGATCCTTTTAGTGCTTCCATTTTCTCATTTGCAAAATGGAGGTAATAACAATATCTACACTTCACTGGGAGGCTGGGTGGTGCTCCCTAAGTGTAAAGGGACAAATACCACAGGGCTGCTTAATAAAAGACAGCTTTCAATAAAAGACTGCTTAATAAAAGACATTTGGAGGCCATTACTAAAGGCTAAATGCTGGGCTCTTGGATATGCTTTAACTTGCCTCATTTATTTACCTTTTGCACCTGGTTCCTGAAGTGTTCGAATTTGTGGCTCTTGCCAAACATGGTATCAGTTGCATTCTTGATATCCTTGCTACTGAATGAGGGGCATGGAATAACCATTTTTGTAAGCTTTTCAATGAGAATGGTAGTAAGTTTTCTGCTTAAATATGACTTAACCAAACATATAATTTATTTGGAACATTCTATTTCATAAGTATTTTCATCAATTTTTGTTTTTATTGAGTCACTTTGGAAAATCAGTATTTTTTCTCATTTTCAGGGGCACTATAAAAGCAACATGAGAGTACTCTGAGCCTAGCTCAGGTGATGCTGTGTGCAACTTTTGCTTTCAATTTTAAAGAAGAAAAAATAAATATTGTTTGCAGAAATAATTTCCTGGGTAATTTTCTGCAAGCATGAGAAGCATTAAAATTAGGTCTATTCTAAAGTTATTATTAAAGTCATTATTGTTCACATGCCCCTCCCCCATCCCTGTCCCCACTGGTAACCACTAGCTTGTTCTCTGTATCTGTGAGTCTGTTTCGGTTTTGTTATATCCATTCATTCGTTTTATTTTTTAGATTCCACATATAAGTGAAAATATGCAGTATTTGTATTTCTCTGTCTGAGTCATTTTACTAAGCATAATACCCTCTATATCCATCCATGTTGTTGCGTAT